CACATTGCGTGTGAGGGGTGAAGGATTAGCATGGGATCCCCATTAGGATAGTGCGACATTATTTTTATATATATACAATGTGATGCCACTGGAAAATACCTTCTCGAACGGTTTCAACCACGTTAGCTATGTAGAACGAGGTGTGCCCTCGATCGCACATATCGCAATCGCGCTGAGTGTGCTTTTTCGTACGCATGGAGGAGCTGAACCATTGCTTTCATTTTTACTGTGTAACGGCGTTGGAACGTGCTGCAGAGGGCCGGAACTACGCATTTCAATGTTTGAAATTGAGCGTGTCTCAAATCAACCAATCAGAGACTTCCAATTCCATTTATATAATTGTCCAATCATGGACTGATTTTGAGTCTGAACCAAATCACGAAAGACACTGAAGCATATTTAGCCAATCATGGAGGACTAAAAAGCAATTTTTCTTCTGTACTTGTAGTCAACTCATCCCACTGCAAATTTAATGAATGTACAAAGCTTGCGAGTTTTTTCCCGGTTCACTGTAGCATCGTCGACATGTAGAAAGGAAAGATTATAGGTGACTAGATGCTGGTATGCAATATGATTGGTTGGTCAAATATTTGTCGACCAGATTGTCTCAACACTCCCCTCTAATCGTGGCTTTCTGCATTTGTTGATTGTTGCTTGGGGGAGACAATATTGCTCTTGTGTTGCTCGAACTTTGGTTTCGGCAGTGCTTTCGTGAGCATGTCGGCGATCATGTCGTTGGTTGCACAGTATTGGATCTTGATGATGCGTTGTTTGACCAGGTCGCGAATGAAATGGTGTCGGACGTCAATGTGTTTGGTTCGTGTTGCATCGTTGGGTTTTCGGCCATCTTGATTGTGCTTTGGTTGTCCTCATGAACGGTGATTGATAAGCATAAAGGCAATTTGAGTTCTTCTAGGAGAGACTTCAGCCAGAGAGCGTCTTGGAGACCGCATGCCATAGAGATGTATTCACCTTCTGACGTGGATAGAGCAACGATGTTCTGGAGCTTTGACTTCCACCTGATGAGGCAGCTATTGAGGTGCAGTAGAAATCCGGAGGTTGAACGTCTTGCTTGAGAGTCGTTTGCGTAGTCACATCAACAGACGTTTTGGCATTCGACTTTGTGTAAATTAATCCATCATCTTTGGAGCCCTTGAGATAACGTAAAACGAGTTTTGCCATTCGAGTATGTTCAGGCCGCGAGTCGTAGGTGACTTGACAGCAATGTTACTGTATATGTGATATCTGTCCTTGTAGTCGTGAACAGGTAGAGTAGTTCGCCCACCACATTGCGGAAAGGCAATCAGGTGGCTAGTCAGAAGGAACAGGGGATTTCAGTGACAGCGTGCATTCCTGGAGAGTCGAGATTGCGTTGCAATCTGAGAGACCATGCTTTGCGAGAATGTCCGAGATGTACTTGCATTGATGGAGGGAGATTGAGCCATCTGAATGGCGGGATATTTCAATGCCGAGGCAATATGTCAAGCGCCTAGGTCTTTCATGGTAAAGCGGGAAGACAAGTTGCGCTTCGTCGTGTCCATGAGATCGGTAACGGTCCTAAGGTAGCGAAATTCCTTGTCGTGGAAGTTCCGACCTGCATGAATGGTGTAACGATATCTGTTGGCCAGGATGATGAAGTCGTCGACATAACCCCCACCAAAACTAGACCTTGTGTAGTGGTGTTGAAGTAAATGCAAGCGTCGGACTTCAGGGAGGAAAATCCTTGAGTACCGAAGTACTTGTTAAGAGCATTGTTCCTTTCACGGGATGATTGTTCTAGGCCGTAAATGCTCTTGTTGAGGCGACAGATAAGGTGTTCTGAGCCAGGGAGAACATAGCCAGGAGGTTGGCGCATGTAAAGCGATTCTTGGACGGTGCCATAGAGAAATGCAGTTTGCACATCCATGTGGCAAACTTGGAGCGAGTAAAATGTAGCGAGTGCAAGTAGAAGGCGAATACTCGAATTGCGAATGACGGCGGCAAAGATGTCCGTGTATTCAACGACAGCAACTTCAGTGAAGCCTTGCGCAACTAAGCGAGCTTTGTAGCGAGAAAGGGTTCCATCAGCAGAATATTCGTGTGCTTGACACTGATATGACCGAGGCGAGCATGCCAAACATCGGCAGGTGCCGCAGACAGGAGGGCATGATGGTGATGTAGAACCCATGAATGAGGTCTCAGACGGCAATTGATTCGCGATGTCGAGAAAGTAGAGATTGTTGTGTTGAAGCCTTGAGCGTATACAAGCGAGTGATAAGGCACTTGTTGTCAGAGAACGCAGTCGTGAAACCGTGATCAGTGACGCGAAACAAGGAGAACAAGTTGCATTAAATGGTAGGGATGTACATTATATCGCGCAACGTGACAGGGAGTGGGCCGTCGGGAGTGTTCAATTCCAGTACAATAGTGCCGCGACCTTCGACGCTCATATCGCCCACTGTCAAAGTAGATGACTCGTATGCCGGCAGTGAACTCGATCTTGACACAGCCGTCTAATCGAGTGCAGCATCGTTAACTGGCGCGGAAGTTGGATGTTGTAGCACGTTGGCAGCTCAAATATGCCGGAGGAGGGGCGGAGGTCCTGAAACCAGTCGCGATTGTTGCAGTAGTGGTCTGTAGCTCCACAGTCGAGAATCCACGAGGATACAAGATCCGACTGCTTGTCGAAAGTTTGGGCTGCGTCGTCGGTCGAGACATATAACTTGGCGCGAACGCGAAGTACGCGTCTGCTTGTGTCAGATTTGTCCGTATGGTTTGCCTGTGTACGTACTTGTTTGTGGTGTATCGTTGTCGAGGCCTGGGCGTCAGAACAGAGTCCGTTCGCTGGGGCCTCGAGTTGGGATCTGTAGGGTTTGCCGAGAGTTCCACAAAGGCGTTTGCGTTCGTCGGGGTAGCCAGAGTGACACAGACGAAACTAGAGAAGGATGATTTGTTCTCAAGCACTTCATAGATGTGCTGAGGGCGGCTAGCCGTAGGGTTTGTCGAGTTCCCCACGGCACCGGCGTCTCAGGCATGTTGCGCGGGCTTGGAAGGGCAGCGCGACACTGAGCCACCGGGGAGCTTGCAGTAGTGGTAGATTTTAGGGTGCTCACCCGCTTAGTGTCCGGATTCATGGCAAATGTTTCAGCGCACAACTTTGCGGGGGCAGTCAATCGATCCATGCCCAGCGCAATCGCAAC